CCCTGTATTGTCTAAAGGGGGTAACACCCTCTAGTGTCTAAATTGGCTAACACGCTCCACCAATGCAGTTTGGTCCAATCATATTTATATTAGACAGTATCATACTCAAATTCGACCGAAGGCGAAATGACGTGATGAACATAATTCAATATGGCGGTCTCCAGGAGGTTTCTGAAAGTGATATCTCGTAACCAGTGCGTTTCAGTGGTGGGACAATAAATATATTTTTATTAAAATCTTACAGTACAAAGCGGTAATAGAGGCGAAATGTTACAAATATAGCAAGTTTTACCAAACCAATTCCAGGACCCCTATTCCGCCCCTGGCATTTTATACACCGATAGTAACCACAGCTTCATTTCAGAAAATACACATTTAAAGGAGACACAAATGGGCGACAACTGTAGTCACTCGAATCAATATTAATTTTACCACATTAAAGTTTACGAGTATAATAGTCTTTAGTTATAGTATATTATGGTATTATTGATATTGTGAATGTGAATTGGCATTTTGAGTGAAGATCAGGCATCATTTTGTTTTAATAAAAGAATGAAGTGTGACGTAAGTTTGTTTATTTCACTAACAAATCGTTTCTGTTTTTACAGTAATTTCTAATCAATTATGTTTTAACACTACTTCTGTCTACACGACCTAACAATAAATTGTTCAATGGACTAACGGAAACATTTTGTTTTTAAATATAACTCTAAAATAATATACGAATTATCATTTTATATGGCAATTTTACTGATAATTAAAGTAATCAAGTAATGCAGAAATTTGAAACACGTTTTAACATCCCCTCCCTTTTCAGAGACGGACTAAACTAGTTAATGTTCTTGCGTAGTCATGAATTGACGTCGTTTTTGGTGAATTATTAAGATGCATGCATAAGCTAAAAACACCAGGATATCCTCTGTAAATTTATGTTTTAAATAATGTGTCCTGATGTTTCTAGGTTACGCACAAATTTGATGTGTCACAATCTTATCGTAAGTTAACTTTTGAACCTAATATTGAATTCAGTTATCCCGAAAACCTTATTTTACAAGCAATATCCACACAAACAAAAATCACAATTTTGGATTCTATTTTGATTGTCGTTTTAAATTTACACCATCTTGACTAAGCTTTTAGGTAGAAACTAACTCAGCAACCTCAAAATCCTTACATAAGACATATTACAAGCCTTCTCCAGCGAAAACAAATGTCGATTAAGTAAAATTCCGCCATTTTGGATTTCATTTTGAATTTCTGCCGTCATGGATTCTCGAAATTGATTTTTGAGATCAGAATTATGGATTCTCGAAATTGATTTTTGAGATCAGAATTGAATCCAATCCAGCGACATTGACAATTTTGAATTGCTGCCACGTTGGATTTTCGAAATTTATCTTTAGATTCAGAGACATCAAAAACCATATAAAAGACATAGTAAAGGCCATATCTTAAGAAATTTTCGCTGGTCATATAGAAAAAAAATGCCAATTTATTACGATTAATTAAGATTCCGCCATTTTGATATCATTTTTGCTGCAATTTGTTATTTCTACCATTATGGATTTTCGAAATTCATGTTACAATGCATATCCAACAGGAATAAACAAAGATTAACTTAAAATCCGTCTTTTTGGATTCCATTTGGCTGCCATTGTGAATTGCTACCATTAAAAACCGTATACAGGACATACTGAAAGTCTGCTGCTTATATGGGGAAAAAGTCTGCTGCTTATATGGGGAAAAAGTCAATAGCCGTCAATGTGAAAAAACGCATGTTTTTTCCCCTTCAGATTCGTTTTTTTCGGCACATTTCTCCTCTTGTTACGATATCGCTCTCCGAAACATCCCGAAGACCGCCATATTAAGTTATGTTAATTACGTTATTTTGCCTTGGCCGATTTTGAGTATGATGTTGTCTGACATAATAATATGTATCATTGAACTAAACTGCATTGGTTTCTTTTGCATTAAATTATTAAAGGTCGAACCGTTCTAATCTACTAAAAATCGGAGCCATCCGAAAACATCGAAAGGTGATCATGGTCTGGGTATGCTGAGTAATAATTCATATAACATTTCGCCTAAAGAAAGACCTACAATAGACAGATTCAACTCTTGCATAATTCATCTTTAACCTGGTTGATACAGTTGATACAGAAATAGAAGACGTTCACCCCCATTTTATTTAATTTCAAATTTACTTGGTAGAAAACTAATATATTAGCTGATTTAGTGTAGGCGCAGATTAAAACATCATCTGATCTTATTTCAAGGTTGGCTATATTATTTAAGTGTTGTTCAATTGGTGTTGTAATAGGTACAATGGGGAATGACACCCAAGTGTTGTGGTTATTTGTGTCATTTTGCCTTGGTCGAATATTTGGATAAGATGATGTCTGATATACCAAACTGCATTGGTTTCTTTTCCAATTTGTTTTTTTTTTGGGGGGGGGGGGGTAAAACATTATCTCTCCTCGCCTTTAAGCAACTATTGTATTTTTGTATTTAAATCAGCCTTGATCCCAATGTTATCGTCTTAGCTTCTGAAATCCCGGTCAATGGGTTTAACGTCAACTCGACACAAGCAAGGTTATTTCGGGACTAACACATGGTTCTGTATTAAATAAAAAATTAACTTGTACGGTGGGTCCTTTAATTGACAGTAGGGGGAAACTGGAGGACTTAGAGAAAACCTACAAGGTTGGATTGGCGACCATACTTCTTGTCACCTACACGTGGGGAAATGAATCAACGCCACCGACCCAATGGCAGACCTTATGATCTAAAGACCACAATTGAGACAATTAGCCCCACCCACGTGTTGTCGGGTAATAAAAGAGCGAGTTTCTATATATATAGCAGTTCAGTTAATAGTCAATAGCCTTGTTTATTAATTATTATGTATAGGCAACACGTTGGGCAATAACCAGGCAACATGGCTGCAATCATTCTGCTAGTTATAGACGTACGATTTTATTTCACAAGTATTGCTATCATATTTAAATATCTTATAGGGGTTAAATCTCTTAAACTTGGTGGACCAGGAAGGAGCCGGTTGCTCAATACTCCCTTAACGTTTAACGACTCGTTAACATGGAGTTAATGGATCGTTATCTTTAACGGAAAGAAAGGTTGTTGCTGGAAGCCCCGTTAACTTTAACGTGATGTTAACTTGGCGTTATATTTAAAGGACCTAAGTCCGTAACTCAAAATCCTCCAAAATCTTCGACATCGAAAACACGAATTATTGGTCAATTTAAATCAAGATTGATGATGTAAACTTACCGGGAAAAGATGAGCTTCTGATATCCGATATTTAAGATAAAATAATTTTTTTAACATTGGTACACGAATCGTGTACCATAATGCGCTTCAGCCCCAGTTGTATTGAGAGACTCGAGGGACGAGGCTAGACACATTGCACCAAATCAAATGGAGTTATGTAGACTAGAATAACTAGACGCTAGAAATTTGCACTCGATTAAGATTGCTGACTTATTTCGCCGAACATAACTGATTTGAAATTGGAGTAAAAAAGGAAACCATTAAATGTAAATCAGTTTATATACATTCATATTACAGTATTATATGCGTTGCGACCCACTTTTGTGAATTTCTAGGTCCCAAATGTTAGCGATTTAGCTCCTTTAACGGAGGTGTTGAGCTCCTTTATCTGTTTAATGATGGCATTAGTTGGCTGTAGCAAAAGGTCATAGATTACCTATGTAATTTTCTATAGAACATTCTAGAGGGTTGGGCAATGGGGGGCTATTCCATTTTCTATAAGATGAAATTCTATAGTATTCAACAGCATCTTGGGGTCCTGTAGGAAATAATGGCCCCAAATAGTCTACAGTTTCTGTAGTTCAAATGCCATAATTTTACCTACAGATTTAAGCTAAAATTTCTAAAGGTAAATATAAAGTAATTTATATTATTTCAATAGTGTTTTCTGTAGTAAATTCTATTGTTATCTTTTTGTCTTTAATCAAGTTTTGTGAAGAGACTGCACTGGTGCACAGTTGTCCCACTTTCTTCAGTTTCTTGTTAATGCTAACTTGTATGAAGGTGTTATACATGTACATTGAATTTGAAAATTCAAAATCAGCCAATGAACAAACAGTCTTTTCTTAGATTAACTTTACTCAGTCCGTTAGGTTACGGATAATGAAATTGACTTTCCAGCAACATACATTTAATGGACCATTAACAAACGACACGTTAGCAAGATAACAATCCATTAGAGTTTTAAGAATCGTTAAAATAACTTAGCTTTGATCATCCGGCCCCTGATGTGTTATTTTGGACAAAGTCTAAACAATTAAATTGCCGTTTTAAAATATGCAAAATCCATTAGAAAGAACATTACTAGTGACAATACGTTTATAAGGTATAATCCAAGTCCGAGTTCAACTATATAGCCAGTACTACTAACTGCTGACAAGAATCAAAGATACCTCCTAAGAAGCTATTCGGTGTAAATTCTGGTGGAATGATTTCTCAGAGTCGATTTCAAGATAGGCATAGACTAACCTCCCATGATTAACAAGACACTATTTAATTGAGTGGCCAGTATACAAAGCGTTATTTGCCCCCACCTCCTGTATCCTATATATACAATTAAAATACAGATGTGACGTCATCCTTTGATGTTGGCGTACCATTATTTCAATAACGGTACGGTCAATGTGCCAAGCGTACATTATTTATACTAGTAGCAATATTGGATCCGCGTGACGAATTCACAGTGTCTGTATTTTAAGTTGTTTAATGATCTCGTGGAAAACATTGTATAATATAGAGATATTGCCGTCGTGCTATAGCACTCGTAAAATATCAATATATTACTCGACCATTAAACTACACATATAAATACCTATATATATATTTGTATTGTACAGAGAGTATGGTATATATATACTATATCTAATTGTCTCCCAGCGTATAGTTATTTATAACCCTAACATCTGTCTATCATCACTGTATCTAACTATATGTTCACTGATACACTATATGTATATCACATCTATCATGATACAGTAGTATATTATAACTTATATATAAGAGGATACGATACAGATTACCACGAGCACCCAACACACCGGAGACAAGTCATAAAAAACGGTAAGTTACTTCAAAATACTTTTTACAGATGAAAGAAAACAATAAAGTCGGGTCATAATAATACCAAACAGTTCAGGTTCCCATTGTCTGTTTTGTGTATTTAAATTTCACCTGAGGATAACGGTTTAATGACGCAGGCACAACGCAGCTTTTTACCAAAAACGAAGAAGTGGTATAAGTTTCCTACAATTAAGATAATAAAGCGGACTTGTAACGTTGAAGACTAGGAGGTTCTGGGTGACCGAGAGTAACCTGTAACGTTGACGAATAGGAGGTTCTGGGTGACCGAGACTAACCTGTAGCGTACTAAAAACCTAGATAAAGCGCTACAAAAGCCTGGGAACAAACCTGTTAATGTGATAATCTTTAGAACCGTTCTATTAATAGGATATTTGTCCCATTAACCTTTATTTACCTTGTGCAAAACGAATTGATTTTAAATAAGCCTATCGTACGACCAGGATAATAGTTTGATCGGAAATCGAAACAAGCTGCAAGATAAGGTATAGTAAATTTATCAAGACATGTGTATAAATCGTCTTCCCCAGAGACAACACGTGGTTCAACTTTATTTCAATGATTCGCTTCAATGATTCGCCTTTAGCAGTGGGAGGAAACCGGAGTACCCTCGAGGTTGGACAGGCAACCCTACTTCTTGTCAAATACAACTGGGGAATCAAAACCAAGCCAGTTTACTCAGCGAAAGAGATTCTAGAACAACGCGCACGCGCTTACCCTCCACACACACACTCCAACATGATATAAACATATATGTATATAATCTATGACATTAAATGGGGTTTAACGTCCTACTTGTCAGCACCGACGGGCATACGACATACAGTGTCCTATGAGGACAGCGGCGATGCGGCCAACTATCAGACTGACATGGTTTTTTTTTACGTGCACGCCAAACTAAGTACTCTATCAAAAGTGTGCTTCAAATACCCCTCAAAAAATTTAAATCGGAAGAGAACTACCCCAAACTGTAACAAGAGCATCGCTACCGCTGCAATATACATCCACATTCCTGATTTGATGGATATAGTACTCTTTAATATAAAGAGTATGAATTTTGAAATGACTGCAACGACTATAATATGACAACAAGCAAAGAAGGCTAGGCGTTGTTTTTTTTGCCAAATTTACGGAATATATATTAACAAAGCGTGGGCGAGACACCACCCCTGTGGGTCAGGACATGCACCACAATAAATAGTTGCTATTCTTGCGGTATAAGGAATAAATATGCAAAGTTCCAAGATGATCCATTGAGAATTCCAGCCCGTAGACAAAAAATGCAAAATCGGGCTCTGCCCCTGAGGGGTTGGAAATGGACCAATATAAATAGGCATAACCCTGTGATGGATCATACTGAATTGGATCCAAATATGTTAATAATTGCAACCTGTAGACATAATATTAACAAAACGTGCGTGTGGCACCGCCCAAGGGGGGAGGGTCATGTACCAAATTAAATAAGTATACCAAGTTCCAAGATAATCCATTCAGAATTGTGGCCTTTAGACGCGAAACACAAAAAATGGGCGTGGCTCTGCCCCTGGGGCCGGGACATGCACCAAAATCAATAGTTGCCGCCCGTAGGCTATAAGGAATATATGCCTAGTTCCAAGACGATCCATTAAGAATTGCTGCCTGTATGCCCCAACAACAATAGGACTGATCCTTAGGATATAAGGAATAAGTTTTCAAAGTTTCAAGATGATCCGTTATGAATTGTGCCCTGTAGACGACCCACAGACATCCGCCCCCCACCCCAACCCACACACACACACACACATACACACACCAACGCACCCCCCACACGCACACACACACACACACATACACACACACACTGACAGGGGCGACGGCGTAATACGTCCGCATCTTGAATGTGGACGTATAAAAATCTTTTTTTAAAGAATCCCTGTTGGTCACGTGAAATTATTAAGGGGGGGGGGAATCATTTTACAGCCTTTACTTGTTGTTATGGCCTATCCATTTACCATATGCATTGCGTTTAAGTCACTCGCTCTCTCACCACTGCTAATTATTCGATTCGACTAATCTATCCCTTCCTACGTCATTAAGGTGCGTACATCTGGGACAAGCTGCCAGTTACTGACCCTCTTATATTTTGTGCGCGCCCTAGTAATCCAGTATCTTTCTAGTAAGATAGATGTCTCTACATTTTATATATACCACATATGACACACTTTTAATTGAAACAACTACCCTGTAGGAATGTATCTTAAAAAACAACATATAATGTAATTACCCCCCCCCCCCCTTTGTAGATTTGGTTTATTTATAAAATGGCGTTAAGAAGAGTTGAAGATCGTTCAGGATGTAACCTAGGACCATTTACAGAATACGACGGGAGGTCATTCCCCATTCTACCTGTCACAACACCAATTGAACAACACTTTAATAATATAGCCAACCTTGATATAAGATCAGATGATGTTTTAATCTGCGCCTACTCTAAATCAGGTAATATATTAGTTTTCTACCAAGTAAATTTGAAATTAAATAAAATGGGGATGAACGTCTCCTCTTTCTCTACCATGTTACAGATGCATTAGGCAAAAGCTAAATCTTTCTATTACAGGTCTTTCTTTAAACCTTAAATTATTACTTAGCATACCAAAACCATGATCAACTTTCGATGCCATCGACTGGCTCCGATTTTAAGTAGATAAGAACGGTTCGACCTTTAATCATTTGATTAAATGAAATGGAGACATGAGGTTAAGTCTCGAATAAGAAGCACAGTGGTTACGATATAGTCGGGGAGGGATAACGTTTTACCCAAAACAAATTGCAAAAGAAACCAATGCAGATTGGTTCATATATGAGACAATATCATACTCAAATTCGGCCGAGGCGAAATAACGTAATTAACATAACTCAATATGGCGGTCTTCAGTAGGTTTCGGAGAGCGATATCTCGTAACCAGTGTGTTTTAGTGGTGGGAGAATAACTAATTCTTTTTTTAAATCTTCAAACAAAAAGTAGTTACAAAGGAGAAATTTGCCGGAAAAAAAAACCGAATCTGATGAAAAAAAACCCAACAAAATATGTATTTTTCACATGGACGCCTTTTGACTTTTCGCCATATAACCAGCGAGAATGTGCATTTACTATGGTTTTTGATGTCTCTGAATTTAAAGATAATTTCAAAAATCCAACATGGTAGCAATTCACAATGGCAGTCAATAGTCAAAATTGAATCCAAAAAAGACGGATTTTAAGTTAATCGTTGTTTATTCCTGCTGGGCATGACCTGTAACATGAATTTTGAGAATCCATAATGGTAGAAATTCCAATTGCCGCAAAAAAGAAATTCAAAATGGCGGAAATTTAATTAATCGTAATAAAATGACATTCTTTCCACATAACCATCGAATATATCGTAAAATATGACCTTTACTGTCTTTTATATGGATTTTGATGTCTTTTAATTTAAAGATAAATTTCGAAAATCCATCATGGCAGTAATTCCAAATTGACTAAAGAATCGCATATTTTAAGTTAACATCATTTTTTCCTGATTGATATGACTTTTAGAATGTCATTTATGTGGTTGTCAATGTCGCTGGATTGGATTCAATTCTGATCAATTTCGAGGATCCATGACGGCAGAAATTAAAAATGAAATTCAAAATGGCTGAATTTTATTTAATCGTCATTTGTTTCTGTTGGATATGGCTTGTAATATGTCTTATGTAAGGATTTTGAGGTTGCTGAGTTCAGTTTCTAATCAGAAACCTAGCCAAGATGGTGTAGATTTAAAACGACAATCAAAATAGAATCCAAAATTGCGATTTTTGTTTGTGTGGATATTGCTTGTAAAATAAGGTTTTCGGGATAACTGAATTCTATATTAGGTAGGTTCAAAAGTTAACTTACGATAAGATTGTGACACATCAAATTTGTGCGTAACCTAGAAACATCAGGACACATTATTTAAAACATAAATTTACAGTCCGTTTTTCAAAAGATATTTCGCGCCGGGATTCAGGAATCTTTGGGACCCGGTCCGTATCTGGTATCATCTAGACTCTAGACCAATAGTAAACACAGGTTCATTTAAAAATGTTATTCATGTTACGACAAGGTCGTGCAATGGCCACGGTAATACTTTTTTTTTTGAGACATTACATATATGATGCCAGGGACGGGCTGATCTTTGCTCCTTGAGGGGATCGATGGGGTTCTCGTCAACCAGACTCGAATTTGTTTTCAATAAACCGACTGTAAATGGTGCTTTCTAGACTATGTCCTGGTGTTTTAGCTTATGCTTATATCTTAAAAATTCATCAAAAACGACGTCAATTCATCACTACGCAACATTAACTAATTTAGGGACCCCTGAAACTACCATACTCCTTTCAGTATAAAATCTTTTTTTAAAGAATCCCTGTTGGTCACGTGAAATTATTAAGGGGGGGGGGGAATCATTTTACAGCCTTTACTTGTTGTTATGGCCTATCCATTTACCATATGCATTGCGTTTAAGTCACTCGCTCTCTCACCACTGCTAATTATTCGATTCGACTAATCTATCCCTTCCTACGTCATTAAGGTGCGTACATCTGGGACAAGCTGCCAGTTACTGACCCTCTTATATTTTGTGCGCGCCCTAGTAATCCAGTATCTTTCTAGTAAGATAGATGTCTCTACATTTTATATATACCACATATGACACACTTTTAATTGAAACAACTACCCTGTAGGAATGTATCTTAAAAAACAACATATAATGTAATTACCCCCCCCCCCCCTTTGTAGATTTGGTTTATTTATAAAATGGCGTTAAGAAGAGTTGAAGATCGTTCAGGATGTAACCTAGGACCATTTACAGAATACGACGGGAGGTCATTCCCCATTCTACCTGTCACAACACCAATTGAACAACACTTTAATAATATAGCCAACCTTGATATAAGATCAGATGATGTTTTAATCTGCGCCTACTCTAAATCAGGTAATA